GTTCAGAATTGACCAAAAATGACCCTCATCATTAATTTTTTTTTTTAAATCTACCATATTTGAAAAGTAACACTTTTTGAAGTGAATCTGCTTTACGCACGGTAGGGTAAGTTCGTTTCATGCGATGTAACGAAATCATGCAACGGATGTCCCCCCTCTACTTGGCCACGTAGTCGAGTTCGTAGTGGGGACCGCTTGAGCTGTGAGCGCGCTTCAATGCAACGTTCATTACAGGCAACTCCGGCATGTATAGTGCAAAATTTAAATTCATAGTGTACAAAAAATACCATTAAACCAATTCCTTAACCCCTATCCCGGTATGTTTATGTGTTTGAAGAAGTTTCACTTCAGTAGCGTGTTGTATAATTACACGTTGTATTTTTTTTTTTTTTTGGAAAAGCAACAGTTTCTATCTTTCCCCTGAAAATATGCTTTTTTGAGAATTTTTGTTGCTTTTATAATTTTGTTGAGTAGTGTATTTCTATGTTTTCAAATTTTATGCTCTGAACTTATATTCGAATTTGTACCAGTGCTAGAGCCCTGCTGTAATAAATACCATTCTGGTTACACCCGTTTTATGCCTTTTTACCGGAAGTCAATTACTGAACCCGCAGTAATTTATATGCCGCCATATTAGGCAGTCGAAAAACGAATTTAAAATGGAACCTGTTCTATCGCAACACGTCATAAATTATAATAAAAGCTCCCGGTCTGAAGCGACGCGTCGGCAGGAACACGTTTAAAAAACTGCCACGTGCTTTGTAGCAATTTCCTCGTTTCGAAGGTCAAATGCATATTAACGGGGTTATTTTCCTATTTGAAATTAAAAAGGAATTAGTTTCATGACATTCTTAATTTTTAATAGTGGTTAATATGAAATATTAATGTGAAAATTCGTTTCCAATTTTCCATCCACTACAAATTACCTCAGGTTAATGAGGGAACATTTTAGTTGCTGTTGTCACACCCCCGCCGGGAATCGAACCGGGGAACAGCAACAAAAATTTTCCTTCATTAACCTGAGGTAGTTTGGAGTGAATGGAAAATTGAAAATGAACTTTCACATTAATATTTCAAATTAGTTTCACTTTCAACACTATATGTTGGAGCGTATATATATAGCAGGTACAAGATAAAAGTTTTTTCTTTATCATGCAGAATAATGTGCAAGGACTAACAAAAAAAAAACGCAAAAAATTTGGCAAAAACTTCATTTATTTCCTAGCATAGTCTCCTTTTAGTTCGATACACTTTTCCCAGCGATGCCCAATAGCTTGGATATCTTGTTCGTAGTAGGAAACGTCAAATTCCTCAAAATAGCCGTCTACTACAGACATCACCTTTTCATCGTTAGTAAATCTTTTACCATCGAGCCATTTCTTCAAGACTGGAAAGAGAAAGTAGTCAGAGAGGGACTAAAATTTGGTCACAAGGAAATAATTCGTACTTTAAATTATTGATTTTAGCCACTGCATTAACGTATGTGAGAATAGGCACGTTGTCGTCTTTTTCCCTAATTTCATCACTTAAACCTTCTAATAAGTTCGCATGATACTCGGAATTGATGGTTTTCCCTTTTTCAAGATAATTAATGAAAATTATACTATGAGCATTCCAAAAAACTGAAGCCCATAACCTTGCCTGCAGATGGAACCGTCTTTACCTTTTTTGGAGCCAATTATCCCCTTTCAATCCGTTGTTTTGATTGTTCTTTCTTCTCGGGTGTGTAGAGAATGACCCATGTTTCATCTATAGTTATGAATCGACGCAAAAACTCGGCTGCCTTCCTCACGACGCTCATTTTTGTTGTTGTTGAGTAAACGCTTTATCCACCTTGCACATAGCTTTATCATGTCCAAATGTACAGTCGATATGCGATATACCTACAGGAATTTTTGAAATGCCTACCATTTCTGCTAACACGTGCAGTTTTAGTCGAAAGTCATCCAGTATTATTTCGTTAATTTTTTTCACCATTTCTGGAATAGTCACTTCATTTAATCTGATCGACTATTACGATGTTGTCTTCACAACTTCTAGGGCCTCGTTTAAACCCTGCCACCCAATACTTCAATATTGAAAATTAAGGTGAAGACCCCTAAAGTAGAATCTAGGTCGGCTTTGTTTTTGGTTGCAGTAAATCCTTTCAAAGTAAAATATGGAATCACATAACGATTTCCTTGTTTACAAATTCATTGAAAGTGTTCACTATTGATGGCTGTCAAACAAGTAATAAATAGCGGAGCGTCTTCAAACTTGAAACTTAAGTTTATTAAGGTTAGTACATCTACCATAATCATTATTTTTTAGCAACTACCACCATCTATGTATCAGGCCAAGTTTCCTCGTGTTAAAAAGAAAACGTGATTTTTGTACTACATGTCAGGCAAAACGTTCAACGAACATAGAAACTATACATTTGTCCATCGGCATTTTCTCATTTATCTCAAAAGCTTTAAATTTCATTTATTGACATATATTATCTATTTTGTTATTTGTATGGAATGAAGGTTTTTGTACGAATGATTGCATATATATTCAGTTCTAAATTCGCCTATGTACTTTATATCTTTGTCCTCTAACTTGTTTTGATCTTTATTAGAACAATTTACCAATCGCCGTTCTAGCTAATCGTTTAAAGGGATTAAACCCTAATTGTATACATACAAATAGGTCCTGTCAATATGTATTTTATTACAATATCAAAATTTCACAAAACGTACTAGCGCCGTTGGTTGAATTCTTAATGGAAATGTTAGAATGGAAAGGACGGTCGAGAAAGTAACCCTTTCCGTATAATTTCCCTTTGATATTAAATCTCTGTTGCTTTCTGTGTAAAGTACATATAACGTTTTGTAATACTTGGACTGGATTTGTTCACGATGAGATGTAAGTACAAGAAAAAATTAAAGTCGATTATATTTATTATATTGCAGCGAATATTTTATGACATTAAGGCATTTTGGCCTTGAATTTTCCTTCGTTTTTTATATGATTATTTATTTAGTATCCTTTGGCGTTCAGAGCTATAATTAGAAAATCGAAACAATTACAGACAGAATTACCTTTATGTTATTATTATAAAAAAATGCGTTAAACAGAATAACAATAATGCATCTTCATTAATTAATTTATCCATAATAAAAAACTGTTTTAAGACTTTTGCAACTGTGCTAAGCTAACAGAACTCTCAAAATCTTTTGAACAAGGTGCAGCACTCCTTTGAATTACATTTATTGGACTTTCTTTTTTATTTTTGATATGAAGGGATGCTGAAGGTATTTGTACGAATTTTCCTATATCACATCGTATTTTCCAAAAGGTGATGCCGCCGCTTGATGGCTGCATGTTATTGAATATCCCTATGTTTGATTCTTAACTCGCCACTAATGTGTTATGTTCATTGTTTATTTGTTTATTTGTTAATGATAAAAGATTCTTATCAAAAGTAACTTTACAACATTTTGATGATTTTACAATTTTTGTTGTATGGTGAAAAACATCTTGTTACTTGCTATCTGATACTTGCATGCATACCAGGTGGGGAAGGTTTTTACCATTAAAGACCAAAGACCGCATTTAAATTAGGCAGTGATAAAGGAGGCTGCATAAGTTGATGTATTTATAAATGCGACTTGCTAAATTTCTATATAATTTTTGTATAATTTTATCAATTTGATTATTATAACTTCCGGTTATAAAATACTGCCAGAACTACACCACTGCAGCAGTAATAACACAGGTCTGTGAATTTTTTTTGAAAAGTTTTTTTCTTAAATTGTTAATATTTGTCGTAATTGTCTTAAAAATAATAGAAAACGATATTCATATGGTTTATACCACGTCACATTAACTCATAAATGCTCAAAGAACACATTTCCATTTGAACCCTTGCCACGTAATAAGTGCGACGAAAAAATATTCAATAACCAGTGTTTTTATGTTTTTAACGATGCTCTTTTCGATGGTGTTAGATAAAAATACATCCGACAATATTAAAGCATGGAAAAATCGAAAATAAACAAAAAAACGTGATTTTTGAATTGACTTTTTTCTTAAAAAGTAATTTTTTGAGTCCTTACGATTTTTTTATATGCTTAATATTATATCTCTCTCAATAATGGCGCGCTATAAATTATTTTTTTTTTCAGGCGGTATAAACGACTATAGTTACTTTCAGACAAGCTAAAATAAAGTAAAAGACAATATAATGCTCAGTCAGAGAGTATTAAATAGAAATATAAACTATAAAATTTTGTGAAAAAACATATAAATTTGCCGATTCAAAGATACAAATATTAATCTACATACAAAAAAAATGTGACGTGATACGTTAAAACAAAGTTTATATTTGCAAAATATAGACCAACATTTACATGCTTAAGATAAATTTATCCAAAAAACTTTTTTATCGCAGACCTGTGTAATTAATAATAGTAGCCCAGTAGTAAGCTGTTGATATTTCTCGTACTTTACACAACACAACTGTCACTGTTTACATTCTTCGTCTATGTAGCTACTTAGTTGTCATCATAATTTTTATGTAAGTACGTTGCCAATTTACGCCCAGGGCCGGCTTCGGATTGCAACTTCTGGTTTGCTTATAAATTTTTTTTGTCCCCTAATTACTCTGCTTTTACTCACTATGCGATTCCCTGTCGCTAGTTAACATCGTCCAAAGCTAGCTACAGGCCTGACGCTGGAAACTGGCGGAAATTTTAAAATGGCGTGTTTTAGGTATAAATATTACATCCCTCATTCTTCGGTATTCCTGTCAGGGGCGTAGATTAAATATTTAAAAATAGGGATCAGTAAGCAAGTAATAGACAGACAAACAGAAGAACTAACTGTTGATGTTGGTGATAGTGATAGAGATTCCGTATTTCAGAAATATATGTAGTGAGGAGAAATCGGAAATCTGAAGGATCGTTTGATGAATGTCATGATTTGATTCTTTGCAATTGGCTCTTGTTTATTTGTTTTTATTTGTATTTTTTAAGATCAACGACAAAAGAGCAAAGGGGGTAGCAGTAGCTGTTGTTCGGCATCCTGTTGCATTCTGTAATGGGAATGGAGTCGTGGATGTTGTACGAAACGGTGACGAGTTAATTGCCAGTCAGAAGCTGCCGAAAATACATAAAAATAAAGAAAAAAAACTGTGTTTTACTAAGTTCTTAAATAATTTTTTTTATATAGCAGTACCTACTATTACTATTATACATAACTACTACATCGTCGTAAAACACAGTGAATGTTGTGATATTGGTTAGTGTGTAAAAATATAACATTATAAATATTCTGCAAAACATACTCGCGTGCCAGACCAGAGTGTGTACTAAGGTTCATATTGAATAAATTCTTGCTACACCCATTATCATCGTATGTCCTTAGTCTATTTATAACCATAATTGTGTATAGTTTCATATTCATTTAATACCAGTAGGCTAATGTTAATATTCTATTGACTCGTTTTATTTACAGTATTAGTTACTATTATTATTTAATGATAAAAAAAAATTTTAGTTCAATTCTAAAGGCAATTTTTTGATTTGATTATAATATTAATTTTTTTCGTTCTATTCTTTCCTTGTCATTCGATTGCATTTTTTTCTTATTTCTAATTTTAATTTGCAAAACTGCCGTTTAATTTACGTAAAAAAAAGCTAAAGTGAAAGAAATATTTGTGCTTAGAAACGCGTTTTATAACGTAGATGTTTAAGAAAAATTCAAAATGTTTCAAAAGAAAAAGTTGCTGTGTACATAATAGCATTTTAATTGTTTCTTTTGTAACTAAACTGTTTAAAATATGACATGTAATTTTTGAATTTTAAAATTGTTACCCATGTGCAGGGTGATTATGAAATGGCTTTAGACAAATAGTCTTGTAATTTGTAAATATCATTGATCTCAAGCGTAAAGAATTTCAATTTTATGTAGTACAACAAATAATGTTATTTGTTATTGTATTTTCTTTATTAATATAATTATTAGTTGTAAATGTGACAATATTCAATTTTAACTTTCGTTAATTTCAAAAGTAGAGTGTACAGGGAAACCCAAGACTTGTTTATTACATTAATTATTATTTTTTAGTTTAATTTAGTTAAAATTCTTAACGTGGTTATCATAACCCGTTTATACAATTTGTAGATAAATGCTTTTTGGTCACATCACAATGTACGATTTTCAATAAATATTCTTGGGATTTGTAAGCAACTAGGTAATTGTAACGCTGTGATTGTAGAAAAATTAATGGGTTATCCTGTACATTTTGTAATATCTTCACCTTATAATGGCTATTTAGTTTTCAACCTAAAAGGTCTTTCTTCTTTAGAAAAATAATCGAGGCATTTGAGGCATTTGTAACTAGCTTTCTGATGCCTGTTCATAGAAGTTTTAAGGTCAGATAGTTCGCCTTTGGTGGGAAAGTCTTGTCCATACAACCATATATTCAATTGTCGAAAACAGAGAAAATCACTCGATTGTGAGATCTGCACTATACAGTGGATGTCCAAAAAGTCCCACTTAAATTGTTTGAGATAGTCTGTTGTTATGTTGGTACAATGAGACCGTACAGTGTCATGGGTCAACTACCGTATAGTCCAGAACTTGCACCTAGAGATTTTCGCCTCTTTCGACAATTAAAGGTGTAACTTGGTCTCAAAACTTTTATGAAGAGAGCATCGGAAAGCTGGTGTTGGAAAAATAAATAAGACACGTCTAGGTTGAGAAACAATAGCCCTCGTATTAGGGGAATTTGAAGCAAATACGTGAATTTTTAGTTGAACTGTGGTTACGTTATAAATTTTGTTGTCTGTGACTTTTTGCATCACCCTGTATACTGCGTGTATGAAGCTTTTACTTGTGTCCTTTAACGAATTTAAATAAGAACATACTCAGCCCTTTTAACGTTAACGAGGAAAAAAAACGGACCAGAACTATGTACAGTTCTTTCCTACAGTACACATACATAAATAAATAAAATACAAACATTCGCAGAAGAAAAAATGTACGTATCACTAGAGAGACACTTGTATTTATTAAATTGATTTAGAGCAACGATTCTACTCATGATAATTATTTGAAATTTTTAAGTCATTTACCATAGGTAAATGTTGAGTGTTGTTTTATATATATTATATACAAATTGATAATTCGACACATTCCTGTGAAACGATTAGACTAAAAATTAATTGGTAACAAAAGTGTTTTCGAAAATAAGTACTTTTAAATTGTGTTTTGTTTTTGTATTTTCTGATAGATAACGAATTGATTATTATTTTTGACGAGTTATAATTACTAGACGTGATTTGGTATATTGGTGCTTCAGAATTAATTACTGAGCATTACTGTACGCTATAACGAGCCACCACTGACTTCCTCAAAAAGAAAATGGATTGCAGTATATAATTTTTTTTTAAGCACTTCGCTGTATCATGGGCTATTCAAAAAAGCAGTGTTTACTAAAATTCGAATGAAAAACAAAATGCGTCAGAGCAAGCTACATTCCATACATTTCTTTTTCAGAAAATTACTGCACAATAAAGTCAAACTTTAAAAAAAGACTACGTGTGTTTTTAGACTCGTACAACAAACTTTAATTTTCTAAAAAAATCATTGACTTGTTGTCTATGGAAATCATTTAAAATAGCGCCTAATGTTTGCTAGTTGCTTTGTATCTGTTGAAAGTAGGAATTTCGCCAAAAATTTAAGAACTCTGTCTTTATCAAATACACCAAGAAAAGAACACTTTAACACCAAAGGACTGTATCGAATTATCAATCACCCTGTATAGTTATGACGCTTAAATTGTAGGATGTAACTGTAAAAGAAAATGGTTTTGGGGTGAATTTTCTTTTTTAATTCTTCTAATATTAAACGTATTTTTCGCAACTAGTTATGGTACGGGATTCTTGAACACCAGTATAAAAATTTCAAAGCTACCTTCGTCGAAATTTTCTAAAGCTAAATAATATCAGCAAGCAATTCGATATGTTCTCCACCATACGTATATGTATAGTAAATATAATTAATTTAGTGGAGGTATCGTTACGTCCTAGAATTTTTCAGGAGAAAGTACATATATAAATGACTAAAATAATACTTAATATGGACCTAATTTTTCAGGTCCCTTAATTTTGACTGGATTATATTATATATATATTAATGTTATTGCGAGACATGACGTTTAAACACCTATGTTGAATATATTTAATGTATTACCATAGGTTCGTTGTAAATATGTAGCAGTAAATAAAATGTATTTTTGTTCCCTTAATTATTTTTATGTCTATTTATTTATTTTGTAATTTAAGTCGCCTCCCTTCTTCATTTAATTAAATCAACCGAATTCGATGAATTTCAATAATTCTATTTAAATAATTGTCTACTTATATAATATTCTTTCCGAAAAATTCAGTATAGCGGATATATGGAAAGGTAAGTAAGTTTTTGCTGTCCATCCTGTATTTAGCGTTTCTTTTTTTACTGAATTTACTCTCTACCCTCCGTTTTGAAACTGAAATTTGCAAAATAGTTAAATACCTAATTCACAAAATTTTCTGTTATTTCATTAATTAAATTCTAATGCAGACTGTTTATTAGAAATAAAAGCAATTTATCCATTGTAAATGTTTATTTTCATTCATAATTAGTTTTTATATTTAATTAATTGTTAATTGAAGCAAGGTTTTACCACAAAATTGTAAAAGTAGTTGTATCTGAATCAAAAACTGACAAATTTTCAATTCATTTATCCTTTATCAAAACTTTAAATTTGAATTCACAAAACCGATATTCAGTTCAACAAACATCGTCTATTTCTTTGAAAAGTTATAGCAAAAGCTTTAGTGAAGTAATATAATTTGTCCGAACTAAACATTGAAAGCCAACTTAATAAGTTTTGTACACTTCACGAATGTCCCTTATATTTTACTAACACGGATGGTTGAATTCTGGCTTTTTAGTGCGACCTCTAGCGGTTAGTAGCAAAAGCTTCCATACAGGTTTTTGCAAAAAGTATTACATATTTCTATAAGAAAGGAATTCTTATATGAATTTAACGTTAGAGGCCACAGATTGCTGTAAACTAAACATTTCTACATTCATACTGGTATATGAACCCAACATTCAAGGTCACAGATTCCTGTAAACTTAATAATTTTATATGAAATAACCCATGTATAGCTATAACAAATCCAGTTGAAAATTTTTCTTAACTGCTCGATTCCTACGATTTTAGTTCGTATACGTATGTCGATTTTAGACGAAAAAAACGTAAAAACAGAATAAATAACCATTTTTTTACAAAAATAAAGCATACCCCAGCTATTTGTTATCATTTATTAATTAGTCATCTATATAAGATAACATTTACTGGTAAATTAAGCAAAAATTTTGCCCTAATGTTCGATTTTAGTTCCTTAAAGAATTATAGTATGTCCTTCGTATCACAGGTACCTGGTTGGACATCTCACGGTCCATAGTTAAATATTATTGCATCAAGCAACCATGTCGAAAACAGAGAAAATCACTCGATTGTGAGATCTGCACTATACGGTGGATGTCGAAAAAGTCCCATTTAAATTGTTTGAGATAGTCTGTTGTTATGTTGGTATAATGAGACCGTACAGTGTCATGGGTCAACTACCGTATAGTCCAGACCTTGCACCTAGAGATTTTCGCCTCTTTCGACAATTAAAGGTGTAACTTGGTCTCAAAACTTTTATGAAGAGAGCATCGGAAAGCTGGTGTTGGAAAAATAAATAAGACACGTCTAGGTTGAGAAACAATAGCCCTCGTATTAGGGGAATTTGAAGCAAATACGTGAATTTTTAGTTGAACTGTGGTTACGTTATAAATTTTGTTGTCTGTGACTTTTTGCATCACCCTGTATACTGCGTGTATGAAGCTTTTACTTGTGTCCTTTAACGAATTTAAATAAGAACATACTCAGCCCTTTTAACGTTAACGAGGAAAAAAAACGGACCAGAACTATGTACAGTTCTTTCCTACAGTACACATACATAAATAAATAAAATACAAACATTCGCAGAAGAAAAAATGTACGTATCACTAGAGAGACACTTGTATTTATTAAATTGATTTAGAGCAACGATTCTACTCATGATAATTATTTGAAATTTTTAAGTCATTTACCATAGGTAAATGTTGAGTGTTGTTTTATATATATTATATACAAATTGATAATTCGACACATTCCTGTGAAACGATTAGACTAAAAATTAATTGGTAACAAAAGTGTTTTCGAAAATAAGTACTTTTAAATTGTGTTTTGTTTTTGTATTTTCTGATAGATAACGAATTGATTATTATTTTTGACGAGTTATAATTACTAGACGTGATTTGGTATATTGGTGCTTCAGAATTAATTACTGAGCATTACTGTACGCTATAACGAGCCACCACTGACTTCCTCAAAAAGAAAATGGATTGCAGTATATAATTTTTTTTTANATTTTTGGGTACTAAAATCGAACATTAGGGTAAAATTTTTGCTTAATGTACCAGTAAATGTTATTTTATATAGATGAGTAATTAATAAATGATAACAACTAGCTGGGGTATGCTTTATTTTTGCAAAAAAAAAATGGTTATTTATTCTGTTTTACGTTTTTTTCGTCTAAAGTCGACCCACGTATATGAACTAAAATCGAACTTTTGCAGAATAGTTTTGCTTAAGTTATCAATAAATCACATCTAATATTAAAGATTACTCAATAAATGATCTAAATACGCTCTCGTTTACTTTATTTTTGCCAAATAACAGAAATTTATTGCCCGAATTGCGTTTTTTTTTTGTCAGGATCTACCCATGTTAGGAATTAAAATTGAATTTTTGCAGACATTTTCTGTTTAATTCCTCAATAAATGATATCTGATATCGTAATTTAAGCAAAAAAACTCTGTAGAAGTACGATTTTCATTCCTATTTATGGGTCGATTTTAACCGAAAGAAAAAGGCAAGAACTAATAAAATTTCATAATCTGGTAAAAATAAAGCAGAGTGTGCCTTTAGATCGTTTTTTTTTATGAAGTAGCGATATTTACACGTTTATTGTCAAAAACAATTCAAAGGTAGCTAAATTTTGGTGAAGGTGCCAGACACGATACGAAATCAAATTCTCGCGAAACTTTGAAAATCGGAAATTTGTATTAGGAGAGCATAAGATGTTTGGGAAATCAGATAATTTGGCGGGCAAATTTTAGTGTTATTATTATTGACGATTAGTAACAATCTGATAGACATCTGTAATATAGTTGAAACCTGTAAACTAGATGCAATAATATTTAATTATGGACCGGGAGAGGTCCATCCAGGTACCTGAGATACGAAGGACATACTATAATTCTTTATGTGTAATATAAGGGATATTCGAAAAGTTTTAACAGAAAATTCTCAAAATTAATTTACCGTGCTGATTTTCCGTATAAATGGGTCGATTTTGGCTGTTGTTATTTGAGGTTGCACGTCTTAAAAAATACACTTTATAAGCCGTGAGGCTTACAATGTAGTAAGGATATTGAACATCTACCTCCCGAGGAGTATATAAGGATTAAAATTTATCTTTTGCTGTAATTAATTTTTCAATAAATTAATTCTATATTAAAGATTATTCAATAAAAAGGCTAATAAAATTGAAATATATTTATTAATTACACAAATTACAACATATTTATTTCAAGTACAACTATAATACATAATATATACAACGTATTAAATAATTAACAGTTTCAGGGACTTATAAAAGTGAACATAATTACAAAATCAGAAAATTAATTAACAATTTATAGAGTAAAAAGAATAATACCTGTAAGAGAAAGAAAACAAATCACATTTATATGCAATAAAAAATCTTATATTATTTACGAACTGTTATATTACCATTTCAACACAAGATTAAGGAGAAAAAAGTCTCCCTAACCCTCTGTGGCCTCCGCATCTCCCCTTATAGCCACCCTATCCACCCAAATGAATTTTAATAAACAAATATTT